GGACTGGGGTAGGTATTTGTGTCATAATTTCAATGGTAGCATCAGCAGCAACAGAGAACATCGCCACAACAGATCCCAGCTGACAGAGCAGAGGAGCAAACAGTGTGTGAGTTCACGGAACACATGTACACAAAGGATATGCTACTTCAAAGTGTGGGCACTTTTAAGAAATTTTAGGTGAGGGCAGAGCTAGAGAAGTCAAACTCTGAGTAAAAAACACTTATGTCACATTTTAAAAACATGCAAAATACACTATATAAATGATTATTGCGTACATGTGGAGTAAAATCTCATGCGTGGACAAGGAGGATACAAACTTCAGGCTAGTAGTGTGACAAAGAAAAATGTGCTCAGAGAAGGGTATAAAGGAGACTTCTGTTATTATTTTTCATGACTTGCTCCTTAAAAGAAACCAAAAGACCTAAACAGAAAAATAAGATCTCGGGAAACCTTTGTAATAAAAACAATAAAATCAAAACAAATGGGGAAAGACACCACCATTCTACAGCCACAACAACCCCTCCCATCCCCACACTACTATGACATGGGGAACACATTATGCAAAGGTAAAATTTCATTATCTAGTGGCATCTGCAATGTACCTTCTGGAGTTAAGAGATCAAGTACGGGATGGAAAGGGTTACTTACATATTTGAGTAAGTGTTGGAGACATTTATACCATTTACTACCTCAACAAAATGCACCAATGTTACAAGACTCATTCTCAGTAACAGGAGCCGTCCTCTCTTATCACATCATTACGCAAACATTATGGTGAACACACAAATTTTTAGCACTTTTAGTGTATATTCCAATATACTTATCTCCCTGAAATTCCCATTCCACCCACAACACAAAGGAACCACCTTACCCAATTAATGTTAAAATTCTTAAAATCCTTGTGATAAGTGTAAAATCTTGCTAAGAAATCATGTCTTAAAACATATATAATGAAATTCCTCAACTGACAAATTTCATGGGAGTCTCAAAGTACAAGAGCATTTTTCCCTTGGAGCGATAATTCACTTATTCGATACACTAAATACCATCAGTAAACTTTTAAAAGAAAATCTATTCTTAAGTTTTATTTATTTAAGCAGTCTCTACACCCCACGTGGGGCTTGAACTCATGACCCCAGTACCAAGAGTTGCACACTCTTCTGACCGAGCCAGGCAGGAACCCCTAAAAGAAAACCTAAATTTTATTTTAATATGTTGTAAAATTTGCTTGATAGTAAACAAAAAGCATCCAAAATACTTTGCAACAAAATTTTCCTTTGATTCTTACAAGTCGAATTTCCCAAGCGAATAGTTTCCTAAATTTAATTCAAAGTAGCATGATACACACCCAACACCTTTATATTTATCTATATATTATACATTTAAGGATATACTTTCAATTAAAATAACACAAAAAAAGTTTACCCCCTTCCGCCCCCCCCAAAAAAAACATATTAACACCTTTATATGACTCCTAACAAAGCTCTACTTCCTAAAACACGCAACATACTACAATAAGGGATTCTCATTGCTCAGATAATGTAAAATAGATTTCAGTCCCTTGCAATTACAACTCACCACACTCTTTTAGAACATAGATGTAACTTCTCACCCTCAAAAACACTTGGGTTTCCCTCAGGAGTCTTAAGTATCTGTATTACTTGACACCCTTTGTTCCTTGTAGAACAGCATCAAGAAGTTATACATTTATCAAAATTCAGAAACTGAAATAATGGTTAAATCTTTTTAAATAATGGTTAAATCTTAAAGGATCATATAGAAGAGTGAAGTCATACTGTTCTCCAGCCTTGGTTACATAAACCATTCCTTTAAATTCCATAGCCTCCTTCTTTAATGCATTAATTGTTTAATAACGTTCCTATTGATTTTGAGTTGAGACTGTCAATGGGCAGATGTTTTCTCTGCACTTCTTTGGGAGATAAAGGCAAGAAAAGTCTTTGAATATTTAAGATCAAATGTTTTCACAAGGAAATGTTAAGTACAGCTTTTAGAAAAGGATCAAAGATATCACATAATTACCGTATGAATTTTCTGTGGAGACAATATTGGACTTGGACCAGGGTACAGGTCACTCCCTTTCCTTCTAAATTAACAATGGCTGAAAGTATGGGCTCTAGGATCAGACCCTCAGGATCAAAGTCCTGTGCTGTTAAAGCTGTGTAAACCTCTCTGCGAACCTGTCTGCCCCAGCACACGATGCAGATAAGAACAGTACCCCCTTCAAAGCTCCTGAGTGAGGACTTACTGAGTTGACACACAGTACCTGGCACATATTCATAAGCACCTTGAAAACCATCTCATACTTCGAGAAATACAGGACAGGCAGAATCAATTTCCTAGTGGGTAAAGATAACCACGTGGGGTTATGAGCAAAGTGGTAATTAAAAATAATCCCATAAAATTTCTCAAATCATCTTTGCAGACAGCTCACATGTATTTACAGAATATTTGCTGGCACTTTACAATCCTAACTTCTACAAAGACAGCTCTTGCATTAAGCAATACCTAAAGGTGACTCCTGCAACTTAACTTTTTGGGAGGAGCAGAGGGAGAGAGAATCAAGCAGGCTCCACACCCAGCATGTAACCCTATGCGGGGTTCAATCTCACAACCCTGAGATCATGACCTGAGCCCAAATCAAGAGCTGGACACTTAAACAACTGAGCCACCCAGACACCCCCACAACCTGTTTAATATACAAAGAATCCTGAAAATACAATTGCCCTATATTTTAAGACTTAAATCTTACTTAAACATAATCTGTATCTGGCTTTGGCATTTAAAAGCCTATGAAACAGTTGTCTGGCTGCAAATTAAAATGACTGGAGCTTAAAACAAATGACCATGCCAGGTATCTCCACTCCTGACCAATTAAGCCAGTATTGCAGTTCAAGCATCAGTATCTTTATTTTTTTAAGCTCTTCACATGAGTTAATGTACTACTGTAGTTGAATACCAATGCTATAAACAGAATAGTTATCTTAGTATTTCCCTGCACCTTTTTCCAAGATGGGCGTTATATACCTCTTTACACTATTGGTAGGAATGCAAACTGCCGCAGCCACTCTGGAAGTTCCTCAAACTTAAAAACAGAACTACCCTACAACCCAGAACTACCCTACAACCCAGGAACTGCAACAGTAGGTATTCACCCAAAGAATACAAAAAGACAGATTCCAAGGGGTACATGCACCCAGATGTCTATAGCATTATCAACAATAGCCCAAACTACGGGAACAGCCCAAACGTCCATCTACTGATGGAATAAGAGTGTGTGTGTGTGTGTGAGAGAGAGAGAGAGAGAGAGAGAGAGAGAGAGAGAGGCGGGAGGGGAATATTAGTCAGCCACCAAAAAGAATGAAATCTTTCATCTGCAATGATGTGAATGGAGCTAGTGTATTACGCTAAGCCAAGGAAGACAAAAGACAAATACTATGATTTCACTCACGTGAAATTTAAGAAACAAAATAAATGAACATATGGGAAAGGGGTAAAAGAAAACAAAGGAAAGGGAAGCAAACCTTAAGAGACTCTCAATGATAGCAAAGAGTTGTTCACTACAAAGAGGATGGCCTAAATAAGTGATGGGCATTAAGGGCACTTGTTACGATAAGCAGTGGGTGTTGTGTCTATTTAAGTTATGAATTACTAAATCCTTCTACTGAATAATATGCTGTATGTTAACTAGAATCTAAATAAAAATTCGAAAAGAAAAAGGATGGGTGCTATGTTAAGGAGCAACCGGAAAACAAGAGAGAGAGTTCTAGAACAAAGGAAATGAGGTAAGTAGGAGGACGTGCCTAACTAGAAGGGTAACCACCTGACCAATCAAGCTTTCTGTTACACATAAAATGTTCATCACCTTGTGGTCAAGAAAGTGATCGTAAACATAAAGAAATCTGGCAACTTCTACTTGGTTTTCAATATACCACAGAGAAATGATTATGTGAAAACTATAGGATACAAAGTTGTATGCAAAATTATGCTTAAAAAGCATTATTAGAGGGAAATAAATCAAATGTTCATATAAACTGATAATGCTGGATGCATGATTTGCCATTGCTTTTTATCTTTTTATAATTTTATTTCTAAATTCCCTAAAAATTAACATATGAACATTCCTATAATCAGAAATGTGGAACGATAAAATTTCCTTTCCTTTAAGGATATTAATGTTCAAACTTCTTCACACCAATGCCTATCAGGCTGAGCATTTCCAAGAGGCCACTGCTCCAGCACAGAACTCTCCAGAAGCATGGCTTCTAACAGTGGGCTATCAAATGTGGAACTGAAAGACCCAGCTATTCCCACTTCCATGCAAAAGTACTTTACATCTAGGTCACTAAGCAAAAGACTAGCCCTGGTGAGTGACTGATGACTACTATTTAACATAAACACACAAACCATCATAATCTGTTGAAATCAAATTCCTTTTTTTGTTTCTTGGAAAGGAAAATGACACTTAACCACATTTTTAAACAGTTTATTTATTCACGCAATAGTTTGATTTCCTTTGAAAGCTAGAAAATAAAGATCATTTATTTACCTTCTTATTTTTGTTGTTTTTCCATACGGTAAACATTGATCTTTCCCTAACTTCATATAGGTGAATTTTTAAAAAATCTATGCACACACCAAAATCACTGAAAAGGAATGTGCAAAACTCTAGGAAAACTCACTTGAATGTTTTTAAAGTGGCAGAAGATCACAATTTGGGGATCTAACCTATTAAGAACTTTTTTTTTTAATCTTACTGATAGAAGTTGTTTTCAAAGTGGTGTATTTTGAATGATTAAAATCCAAAAATAATCCCCACATCAGATAATCTCAATTTTAGGAGAATTTCTGAGCTAAGATACTTAAAGGAGAAAATAAAAATACTGTTTTTCTTTGACCAGAACTTTTGAATTTGATACATACTTTTTTCCAAGTGTCATTTCTTTTTCTTTTTTAAAGGTTAACAAACCACACACTCAGAATACAATTCTTAAATTTGTTTCTTGTAAACACAAGAATGGGCAAAAGTTAAGGTACATTAGTTATAGAATGAAATAAGGTAGTGCATTTAGCGTCACATATGAACTTAAGGCCTTAGTAACTTGATTGTGATTTCAGTATTAGCAACAGTATATTTCCCTCATGCTTACATACACGAGTAAGCAGGCAGACAAAGCAAAAATTTCTAAACATGTAAGGAACGAAGACAAACAATTTAATCTATATATTATCAGTCAATTAATACAGTTGGACTCTTTCAAAGTAACCGCTGGTAGTAAAATAATCTGACCACATTTGATACAGCAATTAAAAGAATAGAAATTAGGTCTCCTATACAATCAGAGCATCTCCCAACGTGTAAAGCAGTTAAAAAGCCCATGTACACTTTATTTACCAGATACTGCCCAGACTACAATCTACCCCAAAACCAACCTTTGCATAATGCATTTTGTAAAATGCCTATCTAAAAATACATTGTATTTCATAATATTTATTACCAATAGGGGGGAGGGTTCTAACCTAAAACACTAAAACCAAATATACATGAGTCTATTCAACAGTAGCCTGTGATACAATCTTAGGATATGAAATTTCACATACATTTATTAAATAGCATCTTATGTTCATAATTTCAGTCATGTCAAATTAGGCAATTTTTTTTTTCTACAAAGTTACCAGAAAAGACACTAAGCTAGAGTCAGGAGAGCAGATCTTCCTGTTCCAGCTCTACCTCTACCTACCTGTGAGACACAGGACAAGTTCCCTTAATTCTCAGAAAGGCCTCAGATTCCTGAACTTTAAAAAAGGGGGCTGAAATAAATGAGTTCTAAGGAGCATTCCCATAAAACGGGATTCTGCTAAATTTTTGAGAACTCAAAATTTTCAAAAAATTATAGCTATGAAATATCAAGCTTGATACTTATCATCAATAATGCTGACTTTTATAGAGAGCTTTAAGCCAAGGAATTACTGATTTTGCATTTATGGGACAAAATGCAAGATGTTTTTTCAGCATGCTTTTCCAGTTACCAGAAAGGGAGGGAAATTTTACGACGACTATAAAGCGTTGGAACAACAGTGAAAACATTACTTGTAATAGAGTGCTAGTCATGGATAGGCATTACTTGTTTGCTTTTAGTAACTTTTGTGCACAAGCCAAGAGGTTTTATAAGATACCACAGAGTACAATGACACACTACATGTGGCCTGACAAACTCAAAACATAGTCAAAATGAAAAGGCAACCAAAATAACTGTAAGGAATATTTCACTTGTTTATAAAATGTATACAGAGACCTGGGCCTAACACACTTCACTGCACCGCATCAAGTCCCAAAGTCTAGTTTCCCTTTCAGAAAGAAGTGCATCTTTTACAAAACTAACACCTATTTTCAGGAATCAAGAGTCACTTATACTGGACTGCCCTTAGTAGAAAAACTGAATATACTGTCTCTGATTCCAAACTTTTCTATGCTAGTACAAGTGAAATAAATGAAGACATAAGACCATGTGCAAGAAAGAATCAGACCTCAAAATGTGTATTTAAATTGAAAATGTTTCACATTAATAGGTAGATCTGCAAAGGATAAAGTCATTTTCCACAAAGAAAACTCCTAAGACTTGCTTAATAATTCCAAATTTCCATAAGAGAAATTTACTTTGAATGTCAGATTGAGCAGGAAAAACACCTACTTTTAAACTATTATTATGAAATGTTCTAAAATAAAAGGAGTTCTTAGGCTGGTTAAAAAGCACTGGACTAGAACCAAGGAGAATAAGTCTTCCTTGAGAATATACTAGAAGAATCAAATGCAACAGAGCCATAGGGCATACATATAAATGGACTAAAATTATAGTCTTTGTATTCTCATGGGATTTCTTTATATTATCTTGAAGACAAACTGATCTTTGAAAATCCAAAAGTAGCTTAAAATTTTATCAATCCCTTTCCTTAACAGAATGAGGATTTTTAACTATAAATACTGTAACATCTGAAAGGGATTCAATGCAAAATAAAATTATGCATCATAAATTTCAAATTACCATTCAGTGGACTCCCTGGAACCCCCGCCTAATGACACGACACACAAACAAGCTATCGAGCAAGAATCTGTTAACAGTTTTATTTTTTTTTTATGTTAAATACCATGGGACAGGATTGTAAGGATGAAAAAACTCAGTCAACTGCCTCACAAGGGATAAGAAAAATTCTGCCATGATATTAGCAAAGGTAAAGGAGAAAATTTACACTGTAAGAGGCACCATTTCCCCACAGAATACCTCTTGGCATTTCCTGAATGAGTGGGATTAGCAATCTAAATAAATCATATTTCAAGAGGAAACAGCAACAGATAAAATTTAAAGGGATTATTAAAATAACATTTACAAGACTCTGAACAATTCTTGAACTCTTATTAAAACCACAAAGAAAGAACAATTCTTTATTTATGAATTTCATAAAGGACTGAATGTGCAACTGACATCTGCTAGTGATGATCTGGTAATATACAATTTGTCCAGGAGCCGAACAGTTTGTTTTATTGTGTTTTCTAACCGTAAGAGATCATTAAAGGCAAAGCCTATATGACGCTGTACACACAAAAAAAAATGGTCACCGTGGGCCATACTACCAATGAAATGGTAGGTAAACAAATCTTTTTCTGGTCAAGAGAAAAAAAAAGAAATAGCACTCTGCATGCTTCACTCTACAAGATGAACTTCCCTAGAAAGAACCCGATGAAAATGGCTGCAATTACGACAAGAAGGGAAGGAAGAGGACTGGCGACATTATCTCTGAAGGATGCAGCTGAGGTTGATCCAGGTTTATCCGAATGTGCTACCTTTCTGAGCCTTAAGCCTTCATCCTGAAAAAAATATATGCACAAAAAGGTTTTAAAAACAAATATGCATACAGTCAAACGGCCAAGCTACAGCTCTATGGCCAGAAAGCGGATCAGCATGCACGTGGCTGCGTGGGAACAGGGATTAACTGCTAACCAGCACTAAGATGACTTTCTAGGCTGATGGAAACATTCAAACACTGGAGTCTAGTAATGGCTGCACAAGTCTATAAATTTACTAAAACTGACTGAATTGTACACTCACAATGGGTGCTTCAATGGAATATAAATTATACCTCAATAATGCCGATTCTAAAAACTAGAGCTGAAAAATGTACTCCTAAAAAAGTGAAAAATCAGATACGGATATAGTTACACAGAAGGGAAAAATGTCACTAAAATATATTAAGTAAGGAAGAGCTCTGTGCGTGCACTTATTTCCGTGGTGGCCCGTGGTATCTTTACACTGTTACCAAAGACCACCAGTAGCAAAGCTGTGGTCCAACAGGGTTATGGACACACTACAACCAGGGTGCCCACACAGCACAGGCACAAGGAGTATCTGGCCTAAGGAAAAGACAGGAATTTTACAGGATCTGGAAGAAAGGGGAATTTCAGGAAAAATTTAAAAAGCAAGTGTATTGATGAGTTCAAAGCAGGAGGTCCATGTGTGGAAGGGTCAGCACTGGGTCTCTACTGAAAAGGAGATGCCGAATCCTACTTCTTCAGAAAAACAACAAACTACAACAGCTATGGAATGTTGTATACAGAAACCAGCCCCCCCACACCCCCCACCCCCCATCAGAGACTATGCCCCTGGACTGGAAAGGGAGGCTACTTCTCTGTGTCAGTGACTCAGATCCTCTAGACAAGAGTGGGCTGCTGCTCAGTTCTTACTGGTATGATTTCACACAGCAAAGTTTTTGACAGTGTGATTTTACAGGACAAGGTTTCTCAGTAAGAAAGCAATAGTCACTCAAAATAGAAGGTTGTTATGACACTTTACCAGTCACAGTGTGATCCTGGGGGAAATACTGATACCTGTTACCTAGGCAACTGGCTTTATCTGTGTCCAACATCTCAACCAGATGAATGAAAGGACAGATTTTTACTTCCTTAGTGCAAGCTCATTTTTATTTTCTCACACTGATTTCTCTAGTATGCTTACTAATGCCAAATGAATTACAGAATCCACCTCAGGTCATACTTTTTTATTTCCAATTACTGGATTTTCTGAGGGTTGCTGGGGTTTTTTAGTCTTATTTTTCATTAGTCCTATGTGAAGAAAAAATTATTCTCAATCCCATCGAGAACTTTAAACAATACTCCTAGTGATTCTGATTTACTGGGTCTGGAGTGGACCCGTATTTTTAAAAAGCTCACTAGGAGATTCAGATGAACAGTCTGGATTAAGAAACACAGGACTAAAGAAATAAAAAGGAACAGTGATAAATTATGATGGGTCTTATGCATGAAATGTTAATAAAGCACCTGAAATTGATCCTACAGGCCAGTAGCCTTCAAGGTTCTTTTGTCTTGTAAACAGCAAAACACTCTTTCAAATAACATCTCCTACAAAACATCAGCCAAAAAATAAAAAGGAGATAGCAGCACCCAAATCTCACCTCTCTCCCTGTCCACTCTTCCTATATTCCAGCCCTGCCCTACTTATGGCATTCCTACCATTTCCACTTCTCCCCCTCCTGCCAAGAAACAAACAGTGGCTTTTTGTCATGTTAAGGAGCCCATCTTTATCAAAGAACAGAACTGTGCCATAGAAGTCATGGCAGATAAAGTAGAGGTAACAAAAAGAGCATCCTTAAAAATCTATGGTGTATGGATATTAGTGTGAAATGAAGATAATCGTTCCACTATCCCAAGAGGTGCTGGGGGCCTCTGAGGGGTACTATGAAACAGGAAGAGATAAACAATTATTTCAACACAGATCAATTCAAGATACAGTGCCTGTGATTCAGAGTATATGTAGTTTCTGTATACATTTAACAGATGGAAGAATCAAATGTAGATTAAGCCCCTTAATTTAGGTTATTTACTTATGTATATTTTTGTATCATCTACTTTGACGGCAATTTAAAGGTATTCAGGTCTTGAAATAATTACTGTCAAGACAAATTATTAATAAACCCCACACATATTCAATTAGTCCTCATTCACCAGTTCATCCATTTATTCACCCAAATGTAAGAATGACTACTATATGCATGTACTATGAATGCAAAAATGAATGAGCACAGGTCCCTGCCTCTAAAGAACTACCGCCCACTAGAGGGAGAAAGACCTCCAACAGACAGGAGCAGTTAAGATGACAGAGGTTTCATGGAAACCAAGGAGAGAGCATTCCAAAACCATATTTCTTTTCTTCTGGGAGGAGAGAGCCCTAGAAAAGGTTATAGTGAAAAGATGACAAGAACCAAGGAACCAAGAGACAATCATACATGTATAATGGGTTTATAAGGGTAGGAATGGGATTTCACAGCGAAATCAGTCAGAAGGAAGAACTCACACTAAAGCAAAAAAGCTATCATTAACAGAGGGGACTCTTCAGGATACTCTAGTCCAACATTGTCCAATATAAAAATAAGCTTCCAACGTGGGCCACCCATGTACTTTGAAATTTTCTAATAACACATTAAAAAGGTAAAAAGAAAATGGTAAAATTAATTCTAATAATAAAATTAAATCCAATATAACCAAAATATTATTTCAATATGTAATAATACAAAAAAAGGTATTTTTTTTGTACTGAGTCTAAGCAATCAATTGGGTGTTTTGCACTCACAACACATGTCACTTCAAACTTACATTTCAAGTGCTCAACAGCCACGTATGTCCCTACGCTATATGGGGATAGAACCATTTAAGGCAAGTCATATGACTAGGGCACAAAATGTAAAGGCCATAAAAATGTAAAAAAACGAGAGAGGAAGCTAGCAATGCCACCGGCTAGATCACAAAAAACTAGGGCATCTACTAGGAAAGGAACTTGCAGGCAAAGAGAAGCCTTCGTAAAACTAGAGGCAAGAGTGGGGAGCAAAAGCTAAGACATAATAAAATTAGGGAAAATGAGAAATGACCATGGATAAATTTAAAAACTGATGGATAACATGGCCTAATATTCACATATCTTATGCCTTCATTTAAATCAACTTATCTTCAAAAACAACTTACTCTCAGGTGTCGATTTTCTTCTGATAGTTTCATCATTTCTCCCTGAAGTCTTTTACATTCTTCCATGAGTTTCCTTGTTTCGGTATCATTGAGTGAAACACTATGTGGTTTTGGCATGGGTCCATCTTGTTTAGAGGCATTCAGTGGAACAGTTTTGCTAGGTTCCAGATCATTCTGTATTACAAAGATAGTGGCACTTTTTTAAATGACCAAATCTCCTTTAGATTTTAAACAAATTCAAGTTGAAATTCCATACCCTTCTTTTCCAAAAAATCATTTAAATGGAAGTTTCTGAGGTTATGATTTCATTAATAAGAACTTTTTAAAAATACCCAAGGTTACAGTCATCTGTGAATAATTTTAGCAGGACTAAATCAATAAAGGTCAGAAAGAGAAGTCAAAAAAGGCACCCCACTCCCTCCTCTACTCCCAAAACCCTTTACACTTACCTCTACCATAGCACTTATCATATATCATATAATAATGTATTTCTGACGTTCCTTCCTACAGTACTTCAAATTCTGGGAAAGCAAGAGTCATTCCTTTCTGTATTTATGGTTTGTGGATATAGGTGTGCTAAAAACCAGTGCTAAAACCCAGCACTTTGGCCAAGAGTAGTTATTCAATGAAAGTATGCTGAATGACGCCAACCAAAATCCAAATATGACAGTCATTTTCAGTGCTCTGATTCTGTAATTCAAATGAGATTCTGTGGGGGTAGGGGGATATTATAGTAATAATTCCAATGATATTACAAGACTACCTAAGAAAAACTTAAAACCTGACTTCTATTAATGGGAAAAAATACCCAGGATATAAACATAGAAGGGAAATAATAAATATAAACATATCATGGTTTAAAAAAAAAAAAAAAGGAGGTGGTAAGGGAGTTAATTACATGTTCTTAAACTCATACATAAATAATTCTTTCAAATCATCACCAACACTGTTTGCTTTAATTCATGAAATTCCATATGGAATCACAGTAATACTTAGACACTTTTAAAACTGTGAGCCCTAAAACTGCAATTCTTACCAATATTCACCCAATACAGATAAATATCTAGGGCAGTGCCTAAGTAAGTGTCCCAGGGCCTGTGGTCTCAAGTGCTTCAATGTCCTTTACCTGAATGTCATTTATACCAGCACCTGCAACTAGTCATCTCTTCAACTAAAAATTTACTTGCTAGAAATTTAATATTATTTTTAACTGCTTTATTCAGGTATAAACTTCTAACAAAAACATTTCCAAAATCAACCTCATGGCATTCCACAGAACTCAATAATAGGTTACACATCTACCACACCATCTCAGGTCCCAAATTTATATTAAGTGTAAATAATTGTTAGTTCAAGGGGCAAAACTAGTACCTCTTATGAAGGGAATGTGATTTCACCACTATGCTTACACCCATGTAAAAACAGTAATGTTATAATGAGGTTCTAATGTACAACACTATACTATTTGACTGTCAACATTCAGATTTTTTCGTTTTTCTTCAGAAGCCTCTCAGCTGTGAAGAGTTTTAAGAAGCCCACTTCTAATTTCTTTCTCTGAGTTGTCCTCTTACTAGCTTTCTTGTTCTTCACCCTACCTTCCCCTATTCTGACCAATTCCATCTCTATCCGTAAAAATCTGTTTCAAATATATTTTGCTCTCCATTAATATTCTTTCTTAATACTCCTCTTAATAGTAATTAGAATTCATTTCAAAATGATTCTTCAAGTGTGCTCCAATTCCAACCTAGAACAAGTCCAAATTTGTAAAAAGAGAGCAGCTCACTGTCTTTTTCTAAAGGATGAAAGCAACAGTCAACAATATGGCAACTAAGGAATCCTCAGGTTCTGATTATGAAATTGGGAAAAAAATATATACTCAAAACCAGAAAGCTGATTAAAAAATCAAGAGGCGATACATGAGGCCAACAAGTGAAGATAAAAAAAAATAAAAATGAGAAATCATCAACTCCTCACAATTAGCTTATTTTTAAATGAACTCTTGAAATTCCAGAAAATTCAGAATTATCAGAGGGAAACTACCCATCTCATCAACCCAACCCAAGTGTTATTTATGTATTACTTTCAATATTTTCTCATATGCACATTTTATAAAATCAGCATACACTAACATTTTCTTCTTTATCCATTTGTATGTTCATCTTTTAATTATCATTTTAAGTGACATGGTATGTCATTAAATATTCTATTCTGTGCGTAAACAAAACAACTTAACAATCACTCTTTTTAGACATTTCATGGGTAGCTTCCCACTCTTTGGGATTTTAAATAACATGTCAACAAATATCTTCTTATGGTTGACAGAATTAGATTTTTCCTTTTCACTGAAATTTTTCTTAATGTTATATTCTTTATAACAAAAAGGAAATGTCATAACCAATTTGTGAGGCATAAACATAAAGGCTAGAATGCAAAACATACAGTGAAGCTTAAAAACACATTTCAACAGTGACTCAAGCAAACATGAAACAAGTTACTTGGGAGTACACTTCTGTCAAGTACTATTTAGGCTCCCTACAAACCAGTCAACATACATAGCAGATGCAATGAAATCTAATTTATTTGTGTATATTTAAAGTATAAGCATATATAACCTAACTTAACTGGGGGATAAAAGGGGGAGTTAGGTAGGGGGCTGAGTCATACATATAGTAACCATCTGAAAAGTCTGAAGGGAACACTAAGGCTGCTGGGACTTTAAATGCATACTTCCATTCAGGAGCTCCGTTACTGAGGTTTGGCTCCAGGAAAACAGCTCGTTCTTGAGAGCTGCTTTAGGCTGGTCCATAAAGAGGAAAGCGGTCGTTCTGAGAACCATGAAATAAGCAAACTAGAGGGATTCAACATGCTGTGACTCTTAGAAAACTGATGAATAGTAACACTGTATTACATTAAATTTACACTGCAACTAGAGTAAATGGGAAGGTCAAGGCCACAATATCAAGACAAAAAAATATTTCACAACTTGTACGTTTTCCACTATTTTATATTATTTAGCCTATCTGCAATAATCCCTTTCCATCCATAAACTGAATTTACTTCTTTATTCTTCTTTAACAGCCATCAGAATTTCAATTCCAATATTCTAAATTACCCCTGTTGGGGGTAATTAGGAAACAAGAGCAAGGGATTGAAAACAGAAGGGACAAGGCAAAATGTAAGGCAAAACTGGTTTTTGCAATAAAGCCTTGTGAAGGCCAAGCCTTGAGCTAAGGAACAGAATTATGAGGCTACATTCCTGTGACTATAATGAGTAAGGGATGTAAATGAACATGAAGGCAGAGCAGCACCTGGTTGGCTCAGTCGGTGGAGCGTACTACTCTTGATCTTAAGACTGTGAGTTCAAGCACCACACTGGGTGGTAACTTAAAAATAAAATCTTCAAAAAAGATGTTTTAAAGTCTATAAAGGAAATTATGACTAAAACTAAGGGCTGTGGCATGAAATTGTTATAGGCATAATAAGGCCTTGACCTGGGAAGAGATAGTATTTGAAAAACAAGGTTACTGGAGACTTAATTTCACTCTTAAAAAACCAATTTACTGTTTCTGTAGAATCATGATTCCCAGAAATAAGTAACTAAAATAAAAGTATCAGACATTTAGATAAAGATCAGATTTTTTTAAGCCTCAGTTACATATTCTCTGTAACACTAAATCAAAGTATAAGCAAACTGTTCAAACTGTAGGGTTCCTCAAGTATATAGTAAGCAAAAAAATGGTAAAGGGAATCATACAGCACCCATTACACCACCCAGAAGTCATTACTGACATGCTGTCATCTTAAGTAGATGTTAAGCACACACATGTACATGCACGTGCACATGCATGCGCACGCACACGCACAAGTTCAACTATGACCTAAGACCTTTAGGGTTTAACCACATATTCTCCTACCCTGGGGCACTGTAAATAATGATAGTTAAAGAGGGGTTACCATTATCTGTGTTTGATAACAAAATAATAATTCCATTTATCTTTTTTTAAATATATATGAACAAATACTTGCCTGGAGATCAATGTTTGCCAGCTCCTACCTTTACTGCTATACCTGCTACTCTACTCGAATAAGCTCTTAACTCCTTTATTTATTTATTTTTTTAATTTAACACACAGAAATCACAAGTAGGCAGAGAGGCAGGCAGAGAGAGAGGAGGAAACAGGCTCCCCGCTGAGCAGAGAGCCCGATGCAGGGCTCGATCCCAGGACCCTGAGATCATGACCTGAGCTGAAGGCAGAGGCTTTAACCCACTGAGCCACTCAGGTGCCCCTCTTAACTCGTTTTTAAAGAATGCTCCCAAAATCCCAATGACAGAAAAAATCATACCAACTTCATAACTTCATAATGTAAACTCTTAATTTGTCCTGCTCACTGCTGAGATTTTAAGTGCTCAATTTGCTTTTTTAGAACAGAGAATAGTTTCTGTGCCTGATTTTTAAGTGATCTGTGGTTCTACTGTATTTTTTAAACACAGCTGAAAATTTCAATTCTATCTACTTCATATAATATACTCATAATATATGTGCTAGGTAAACTACATTAATATAACCAGTAACACTAGAAAACTCCTATGGCTGTTAGCTCCCTAAAACAAACCTTCTGCTTCTCCTGTTTGAACACACTGAGTCCCCTGGGATCATTCTTCGTATTATAACTGCCAGTTGTTGGAACTGTGTTGTTGATGCTGCTTATTGAAGTGACAGCTGGAGCAGTCCCTGGTGGAGTTATACCCTGAGGTGGCATGGGAAACATATTCTCAGATTCACATCAAACTGATTTCTCCTGCATGTACTGGGAATGACTAACACAGAAATCATTAGGCTCTTAGACATTCACATTTTATTCTATAAAAATATATTATATATAAGATAAAACACTAATAATAACGATGTTAAAGCAAAAAGTACAAAAGTTTTCATAGCTTTTTATATTATTTCCCAAACGATATGCACTATGATCAATTTGCATTATGCTAATTAAATGTATAAATCTTATTAAATTTATGCTCGCCTCATGCTGTCCTAAAATGAACATGTTCTAATTTTGTAGCTCTAATTTCTGTTGCTAATCAATGCTTGTCAATATCTGAAAAGCAAGCACTTCCTATTTTCTTATCTTTGGTAATACTCAACCTGAACAATTTTAAGTTAAATGAATTTTTCTCTCTTGAGATTCAACAAATACATTACTTTATAAGCCTCTCCTGTACTCAACAACACCCACCCCCAAATGCAGACACACACACACACACCCTTTCCCAGGACCAATAAACTTAAAGATGCATAGAACATTCTAGTATATCAGTTTCTCCATAGTTCTCTTCCTATCTTCTCAAATTCCTTTAATACAAGTGAAAATAATTGGATACCAAAATGTTGATACACCCTTTAAAATAACACTTAGTGATATTCAGGTCAATGTATATAGACTATGAGAACTCCATTTCACTTAATAATGCACTGTCCCCAATCTGTTCCTTGTCTCAACACAAAACAATGTATATATTTAATCATAAAGGTTCTTTGTATACATAAGACCACTGAAATTCCTTGTTGACAACCCATCAGTCAAGATAAATTGGTATTTTTTTCCTAGAAAATATGTCATCAACACACATTAGGATGGAGGGCATAAATGAAATGCAATATATTTTAAGAAATATGGAAAATTTCAAGTAGAACCGGAGGCCTCAAAATAAACAAAAAAAATTTTTAATTGAACACAAAGAATTAAACAGGTGATAAAACACCATAAAATAACAAGTTAATTAAAACCACATTCAATCCTGGAAAAAAACACTACCACTAAATACACATTAGATTTCATAATACAGAGTTGATAGTAACTAAAAAAAGCTAATAATTCCAAGAATACAACTTTGCAAAAATAGAGCAGTCAACACTTTAGTATCATCTGCCTCCAGCTCTCAACAGCCCAGGGAACACGCTGAGCGGCACTTGTTACTAGTACTGAACACAACTCCACTGAAGACTCCATGGGCCATTAATTTACTGACATATATCCAAAAACCTGCTGTTTCCCTAGGACTAGAGTGACCACGAATTTTAGTATGCTTAAGAACAGTATTAGTTAATGCTTGGTCTTAGAATAATTATTAACAGTACCTCCATTTATTTAAAAAAGGGGGGGGAGGTTTCCTGGAATCCTAAATCACTCCATCTATGATGCAAATCAAAGAATTATTTCCCCAAAAGAGCCCACTCTAATGATGATTCAAAATGTTAGAACTGTTTTGAAAAAAAAAAAAAAAAAGATTTCTTTAAATTATAAAAATTTTAAAAGCAAGAACTCAACCACTATACTTCTAGACCTGGCATCTTTTTTACCCTGACAACCACAAAACTTCAATGTTTTGCTTATATGTTCAGTATCAAGGTCCTGAAAACTTGAAGAAATCAACAAAATAGTAACATATCCTTTTCTATAGTTCTTAAGAACATGTAAATACCTCAACACTAACAGCCTACCTAAAAAGATCCAGAACCTCAAATAGGTTAAGATACACTTAACCTAACGTAATTGAATTAAACGCCTATCTACTTCTTTTGGGGGGGGGGTGAGGAGGACCTGGGAGCAGGAGTGAGAGAGTGGGATGGGGTGGTTAACATAAGCCCAATTTCTCTCAACACAAACATTATACCTAATAAACGTAAGAATGACAAAATAACATTACTCAATCCTAAATAAATTAATGAATCTAAACTATAGTTTCTCAATTTTGACCGTATTGATGTTTGGGGCAGATAATTCTTTGTTGTGAGGGTTGTCGCACCCACTGCCAGTGCTCAGCAATATCCCTGGCCTCTACCAACCAGATGCCTTTAGAACCTCTCCCTCCTAGTTGTCACAACCAAAAATGTCCCCAGACGTTGACAAATGTACCCTCAAGGGCAAAATTACCCCTGGTTGAGAACCACTCATTCACACACTGCACACCAACCATCACTAACTTCACAAAAAAAACCAAAAACAAACAAAAAAAAAACCCTGACATCATATATTGAGAGAATTTATCACCACCTACAAAGCAGTCTTGCCTCTCCCCGCCTCCAGTGAAAATAAATCAAAATCTAATCAAACTTCTAGATCCAACTTTAGAATATACCAAAACAAGAAAAATTAAATGACACCACAAGGATGTAATCAGCAAATCTAGTCTACAGGGAAAGTCTACAGGACAAACTCAGTTTCTTCAATAAAAATCTGAAAAAGAAAAACAGAAAGGGAATCTACAGATTAAGAGATTCAGGAAATGTATCATCCAAAAAGCAGTATGTGGACTTTATTCTGATCTCAATTCAAACAAACTGCAAAAAAAATTTTTTAAATGACATTTGTGAGACAAATTTGAATCTGCCTACAGAGTTTGATATTAATATTATAAGCTTTTAAAAGTTTGTTGTCAAGGATGCAGAGAAAGGGGAACCCTCTTACACTGTTGGTAGGAATGCAAGCTGCTACTGCCACTCTGGAAAACAGTATGGAGGCTCCTCAGAAAGTTAAAAATAGAGCTACCCTATGACCCAGCAATTGCACTACTGGGTATTTACCCTAAAGATACAAATGTAGTGAATCCAAAGGGCACATGCACCCGAATGTTCATAGCAGCAATGTCCACAATAGCCAAACAATAAAAAGAGACCAGATGTCTATCAATAGATGAATGGGTAAAGAAGATGTGGTGTGTATATATATACAATGGGTATATATTATTCAGTGATCAAAAAAAAAAAAAAATAAAATCTTGCCATTTGCAACATGGATGGAACTAGAGGGTATTATGCTGAGCAAAATAAGTCAATCAGAGAAAGACAATTATATGATTTCACTCATATGTGGCATTTAAGAAACAAAACAGAGGAGCACTGAGAAGGGGAGGGAAAAATAAAACCAGATGAAATCAGAGAGAGAGACAAACCACAGGCAACAAAACTGAAGGTTGCTGGAGGGAAGAAGGGGTAGACGGACGGGGTAACTGAGTGATGGGCATAAAGGGCACATGGTGGAATGAGCACTGGGTGTTATATAAACTGATTCACTGAATCTTATGATTCACTGAACTCTGCCTCTCAAACTACTGATACACCATATGCTAATTAATTGAATGTAAATTAAATTAAACTAAAAATAAAAGGCTTAATTACAGTATTGTCAGTAATTTTTTCCTTTTTTCAAAGTTCTTATCTTTGAATAATATATATCAAAACAATTCCAGATAAAATTGTATCTTGTTTTGCCTTACAACAATACGTGGGATGAAAAGTGAGAGGGCTGGTTAGATGAATTAAGATTAACCATAAACTGATCATTATTAAAACTGGTCATGGGTTCACAGGAGTTCACTGTACTTTCCTAAGTGTTTAAAGATCCTCCAAATAAAATGTTTTAAAAAATCATAATCTTTAACACTTATTCCTTACCATTTAATCAGGTAGTAACTACACCACAAGCCCAAGCAGTTCAATTAACGGAAATACACTCTGTAACTAGTTCATCTAGGCTCAGAATCAGTCTCTGGTGTACTCTGAAATTATACTGAATAGACTTTGGGTTCCTAATAATACTTGCTCTGAAAAGATTCCAAGGCCAAACAATTTCTGCTCATGCTCCATGGTATAGACTCCAGAAACTCCATTCAGTATTTATTCAAGCCCTTTAACAGACCCAAAACCGCGAAAGGATTACTAGGTACCATACCCGTATGTAGGTACACCTGCTACTCTCCTCTATGGGGTGCTTAAAATGGCCAGGCACAACTATCATAGCAATATCATTTCCATCGACTTCCAGTTTGGTTTTTTTACTCTTAATCAATAATATCAGATACTTGGGTGAACCCTTTTCAGAGTATAATCTCAAACTGTCTGCTATACGGAGTATAACCGAAGTCCAGATGAAAGACAGTCACAGCTCTAACCATGTTAAAGAAACGTAAAAGATGACATAACCCTGAGTGAGAAAATATCCAGATGCATTTCTACTCAATTTTACTTCACAGAATATATCCAAAGAAAATGAAAACACTACATCAAAGAGTTATCTGCATCCCCTATATTCACCACAGCACTATTTATAATAACCAAGACAAGGAAACAGCCTAAGTGGCCACGGACCAATGAATGAATACAGAAGTTCTGGTTAGGAAATCCTGCCATCTGTGCCAATATGAATGGACCCCCAAAGGCACTATGCTAAATGAAGTAAGTCGGAGAAAGACAAATACTATACAATTTATATGCGGAATCTAAAAAAATAAAAAATAAAAACAAACCTATGGAAAAGGAGATCAGATCTGTGGTTACCAGAGGCAAAGGAAAAGAACATGGGGGAACTGGCTGAAGGTGGTCAAAAGGTGTAATACTTCCAATCATGACACAACTTAAGTCCTGGGGATATAATGTACAACATGATGACTATACCTAACACAGGTATATGGTATATTTGAAAGTTAAGACAGTAAATCCTCAGAGTTCTCATCCCAAGGAAAAAAAACTTTTTTTCCCTTTTTTATATCTAAATGGCATACTTAACTAAACTAAGCAAGCTATTAGCTTTCTGGCAGCACAGGCAAAAGAGAAAGTAAACTCCAAACGGGAAGCATCAATATGCCAGTGAACGCTCACTTTCTAGTAAGAACATACGCATTCACATTTTTTATTTTTGGCAAATATTTCAACATTCCTTTAAAAGGGGATTAAAAGACACAATAAAAAGTACCACTCAGGGACTCTTTCATTTCAGCTTATTCTACAAGAGTAACAAAATAATTGAGCACAGGTATTTATCTAAGCTGTGAATTTCCTTTTCAAGAGGGCAAATGGCTTCCAGATCAAGGCAACAGTCATGTCAGAGTGTAACCTAACTGTACTCACCATTTCTATTTACCCGTTTTATTTTATATATTAAGTCACCAAAAGGAAAAACCTACTTAGCTTTTTCAAGTCCCTCCAACAAACCACAGAAAAAGATTAAAATCTGCATTGCAAAAGAATAGGGTTAAGTGACCACAACTCATTCTATACATTCACAGACAACTTTCTAAACTGTACACATATATTCCTCAGTCTTTCAAATTGTATTTGCCTGACATTAATCAAAAAGCAACACAGAAATTATTTACTAAGAAATAAAATCAGATGGATTTTGGCCAAAATCAACAGTAAACAAAATACCTGGGAATAGGCAAACTTGGAATAAACTGCTTGTCCATGTAAATTGAATCTTTTATCCCCAGGCTACGGGTATACAGTTGTCAAAAAGTGGTTTATGCCTATTATTTAATTGTATTTATGCATGTGTGTATCATTCTAAAGAACTTGAACTTATTTAAAAGTGTCAAAAAAACTGGGAGAATTAAATGGTTCTTCTCCATCATGAAGACTGTATCTGAAAGTATTTTTCTTCTTGAGTGGACAAAATATTCTAAAATGAAAAAAGCATATCAAGTTCTTTTTAAACCTAAGTAAGCACTGTGTCTTAAAATGTGGAATAGCATTTTCACACATTCCCAAAAGGCCAAAAACAGAAGCAAAATTAATCTCAAAGTAAATGAGAACTTAATAGCTCCAATCTTCTCCCATTTTCCTACTTACCAATTTATCATTTTCATTGGGCATTTCAAATACACATCTCAATTTAGAATCCATTAATTCATCAGGTTTTGCCTCTTTCCACTAAAAACAAACAAAACCAACATGAGACAGAGCAAGTTTAACGGTGACAAAAAGGTTTCACACCTCAAGGGACAACCAATAGGTTTCACATCAGGGGACTGAGGCTGTTTGGAGCAAAGGTGGAGTCTGTGGCTCAGGCAGGACACAGAGCAGCACTCCGAACTGAAGACCCTACCCCTCTTATCTGGCAATATAAATATAAATATATAATCCTCAAGAAACCTACTATCACCATCTGTTAAAATCACACTAACATCTCTAGAGACTGAAGGGCTTTCTTCCTCGCAGTAGCATTTCTAAACTGTTTCTAAGAAATACTATTTCAAATTTCTTTCATTCTTGAAATTAAGTCAGAATTATCTATAATTAACAGATTTACGTATTTTTAAATTAAAAATTAGCTTTCTCAAATAAGGACTGTACAAAACCCACATTTTCAACAACATCCCTCAAAATAAATTCCATTCCACCGCTATACTTACCACAGCTTCCATATCTGAAGTGTTTGGTGGAGCAAAAATTGTCTGTACCATAAACTTGTGTTTACTCTTCTCATTGGGATCATAGTCAAAAGGCTGGAGCATTACTAAATAAGAAGAAAAAAAACACATTGCTTTGTTTCTTCTGCATTTGCTTATCATCCCTACTACTTAATTAACTAATATGCAAACTTAAAGAAAACCAGGAAGGGTTCAAGAAACCTAATCCTGGATTGGTTACATTAAGGATCCAGAATCAACTTTATGGTTTCCAACTATTTTAACAACCCACAAAATAAACAGCTACTTAAAAAATAAATATAAATCTATGACTGCCTCCTCTAAATTAAAGTTTGGGAAAATTTTCAAAATGTTGCCAACATTAACTATTATAATACCTATAAACTCAGATTAAAATCTAGTAAACTATCTATTAAAACCAGTTATAAATACAAGGCTTCATTTAGTATTTAGTGATAATATCTTTTAGAATCAAACAGCAGGGATACATAGAGGAGAATTTAAAAGTTAACTTCAAAACTCAATACATTTTAGTGTTCTAATAAAACTAATTTTTCAAAAATAGATTTTAAATATCTATTCAAGAAGTTTATCAATCTGTTTAAATCTCATTCTAAGAAAACAAAGTATAGGTGCGCCTGGGTGGCTCAGTTGTTAAGCGTCTGCCTTCAGCTCAGGTCATGACCCCAGGATCCTAGGATCGAGCCCCACATTAGGCTCCTGCTCAGCGGGAAGCCTGCTTCTCTCTCTCCCACTCCAGCTGCTTGTGTTCCCTCTTTCACTGTGTCTCTCTCTGTCAAATAAATAAATAAAATCTTAAAAAAAAAAAAAGTATATAAGGAAGAGGTATACTCTGATCATTTCCAGAAATTTTCTAGCATCCCAGTAATTATATTCAAATTTTTCTAAGCACTCAAGATTTTCAGTAGCCTCTAAAAGAGGATTTTTAGGGGTTCCTTGTAACTAGAGGTGATAAAAAACTTTTATTAAATTTATATTACAAAGACTATAAGAACAAATCTAGTTACACAAAATATATATACATATGGTACTATACAAATTATTCCCCTAATATGTAAATGATTTCTAAGATATATCTTTTATACATGTATATCAACACTTTCAAAAAGACAAATGCAATTAAGCAAATGTGAGAAATAGCAATTACATAAGAAAATCCTATTCTAAGTGTATCTGAGATGCCCATAACTCCCATCATGGCTAAAAAAATTTTTGAAGGGGCAAATACAAAGCAGAAAAAAATGCACAGGATAAATGCTTCGGAATCCACATGAAGCCCAGTGAATGTCCATTAATGCCCTCACTAAGCCATCACTGCAGGGTCATCAATAGGAACTGAATAAGAAGAAAACTTAAAACATGACTGATTGTGATTTTATGACAATTATATTCTAAGTTATTGCAGACCATATAAGAATTAAACAATCTTAAAAAAATATATAAATATGTCAAATTTAAAGAACCCACAAAACTAAGTGCTAAAGAGAGAAAGGAAAAAAGAAAGGAGTATGTAATACAAAGTCAATCAAGGAAAAGTTGCTAGAGGAAGGAAGAACAGTTTGAGTGACTATAAGAAACGCAATACACTAAAAACTGAAGAGCTAAATTCTAACTGGAAAAGAATCTGCGGGCAGGCTATGGAAACAGTAACTAGTGTGTCTGGAGTTTTTAATATGGCAGATGCTCAACAAAAGGGATTTATGGAAGACAGAGTTTTGGAAGTACAGGTTGACCTCTGTCCAACATAGGGACTTAACATGTAACATGCAGTTGAAAATCCACATGTAACTTCTGGCTCCTCAAAAACTTAAGTACTAATAGCCTATTGCTGACCAGAAGCCTTAATGATAACACAAATCATAGATTAACACATATTTTCCATACTGTACGTATTACATACTATGTTCTTACAATAAAGTAAGCTAGAGAAAAGAAAATGTTAAGAAAATCGTTAAGAGGGACCATCTGGATGCCTCAGTCGGTTGACTGTCCCAACTCTTGATTTGGGCTCAGATGTGCTCTCAGGGTCATGAGATCAAGCCCCATGTTGGGCTCCAGGTTCAGCAGGCAGTCTGCTCCTCTCTCTTCCTCTGCCCTTCTTCCCACTCACACATGCTCTCTCAAATAAATAAATCTTTAAAAAACAAAAAAATCATGGAGAAGGGTACCTGGTTGGCTCAGTTGGTTGAGAATCTTGGTTTTAGCTCAGGTCCTGATCTCAGAGTCTTAAGATCAAGCCCTGCATTGGGCTCTGCACTCAGCAGGAAGTCTGCTTGAGATTCTCTCCCTCCCCTGCTCAGGCACTGTCTTTCAAATTAATAAATAAATCTTTTAAAAAGATTTATAAAAATTTATTTATAAAAATAAATCTTTTAAAATAAATCTTTTAAAAATCTTTTAAAAAGAGCCACCTGGGTGGCTCAATCAGTTAAGTATCTGCCTTTGGATCAGGTCATGATCCTGGGGGTCCTGGGATCGAGTTCCCTGCTCAGTGGGGAGTCTGCTTTTCCCTCTCCCTCTGCCCCCTCTTACCCCCGCTCCTGTACATGCCCTCTAATTAAAAAATGAAAATAAATTTTAAAAATCGTAAGAGAAAATACACTTACAGTACTGTATAGTCTTTATCACAAGAAAACCCACATCTAAGTGAACCTGCACAATTCAAACTTTTAAGAAATAATAATACAACAGAACTTCAGCAGTTTAGAAACTTCCAAGATAATGTCATTCTGAATAGTTTTATGGATTCCTAAGGGTCAAACTAGATGCACCAAGAAACTATTTTTAACCACATGGATAGAAATAATTCTATCTTCTTCCAACTTAGCTAAAAGGCTTAAAGATTTAGAAGGCAACTTCCAGAATGCATATACTCATTGCTTTATCTTCCTTCCCATCAGTCTTTCCCATGAACTTGGACAAACACAAACACATTCCTACCCGGCCACCATATCACGTTACTCACTAAAAACATCTCTTCTAGGGCCGACTAGCTCTCAGTTTTTGGCTATACCTACTGACGGAGGATTCAGGGTCACAGAGACCTCTACAGTTAAGTCCCTCACTACCTGTGAAGTCAAGTTCTGCTTCTAAGTACTCTCCCTGGGCTTGCTATAGGTTCTCACTCTTTATATAATTGTTTTTAATCTGCTATGGATTTAAAAGCCAGGAAACTGATAAAGAATTAGTTTCTTAGGAATACTTATCAGGATCATCCAGACATGTTTGTTGTTGTTGTTGTTGTGTTTTTAAACATATACATGGCTGGGGCCATGCCCCTAGAGATTCCAAGCTGAGAGAAGTCCATGTGTGTTCCTGTTCCACCTGTTATCAGGACATACAGTGAGTGGGAGATGAGAACTACTGCTAGAAAATTAATAGTAAACGGTCTCTGTGGGAAGCCTAAGAAGTTCTCCCATAATTAAGATATGTTCTCATATGTGGTTCCTATTTCTCAGCTATATCAGAGAATATTGTTAAGGAGTACTATCTTGGGAAGTCTGATGAAGAAAGAAGTTTACAGAGAGCATTAACTACAGCAACAGCACAGACCTCACAGCAGGGGTCAGCAATCCATATACAGAGTGAACCAAGCATATTCCCTGGACTACAAGTAAACATAAAAGGGAGCCAAAATACTAAACTTTGGCATTTATAATGAAAGGTAGAAACACTCATCTAATTTGCTACAATCAGCAAACAGGCATTGTACATTTTTAAGACTTGGAATAACACTTGTATAGCTGCATGCAACATGTAATAACAGCTAGAGATCTGAAAAGAATGATCCATCACAAAAATGATGTCATATTTCAAAGATAAAATAATAAGGGCAGAGAATATGGTACTGAGTGGTAGAAATAAAGGATATAAAATATTTAAGATGACAATTATTGTTTACAAATTGACCACAGATACCCTCAACCCCAAGATAAGGGTATGAAATGTTCTGCAACAGCTGGCATATAGGAAAAGAAAACTGAAGGACAGGACTAAGGCAAGCCAGAATAACTTAAAAACTATTTCCCTCCCTCCCTCCAGATGAAACCCTGTTAATTAAAACCAAATTCAACATAACCATAAAAAGGTCAGAATCCAATACCGTTCAAATTCAGAACATGATTTGCTACCTGAAACAGTCACAGTCAACCCCGGGTCAATAATTCCACTGTTGGGCCTCACGCAGTACCGACGAGGTGCTGTAGTCTTCACTTTGAAACACACTTTTCGATCAGATGGATTTCGCAACTTAAGATTTGTAGTGACTACGTCTGTGAAGGGGCCTGTAAGGTTTAAAAAACAAAAACAGAAAAAAATCTTAATTGGATTCACACATATAAACCAGAATTCAAAATGAATATATATACCCTCAATTTTATTTAAAGGATATACTGAAGTCTGTGCACCTAACTGTATCAAAAACTAATAGTATTTTTTTCCAGGTGGTAGACTTACAAATAACTGTCATTTTCTTCTTCATTCCTTACTATATTGTATAAAATTTCTATATGAACACGCATTATTTCTAACAAATAAAAAGTATTTTCAAAGTTTTGATTTATGAAGTAAGCCCACAACTATATTCTTAGAGTGTGCTTTTATCACATTATTGAAGAGATGAGATTTTTCCAGTGGTCTGCAAACCAGTGCAGGTCTTCAAATTGATTTTACCAAGCGAATTCCATTTTATAGCAAAAAATCTCTTTATCTAAAGATACTACATCTAGTGACAATAGTGTTCTTGCTTCACACCTCAATTAGGTCTAATTCATTCACTCATTCATTCGTTCACTAATATATTTAAGTGTTTCTTATAAGCACTATGTGAAATGTTCTAGATACAAAGTTTCTAAACTTTGTTGATATACCCAAACATGAGATTACAAAACAAAAAACCCAGAAGGGTAATCTACTCCTACTTGAATTAAATCAGTCCTAACTAGTATAACCTCATTTTTTTTTAAAAGTGGGTAAAAGAAAGATTATAGCCATTTTTTATCTTGGCTGAAGAAAAGCCTGTAAGACATTATGTAAATTAATTTAGACAATAAAATGAGTACCTTTTACTTTGGGCAAAATACAAACTTAAATAAAGGTATGCACCAAGAGAAAGCAGGGACTACACACTTCTAACTAAACCAAAAGCAATTTTAAATGGCTTTCAAAGCAATCAGTTTCAAGTAATATTTTTTAAAAGCAAAAAGGGTGAAATCAAAGACAACTATTATAGAAACTATCTTTATCTAAATAAACAAAAATAAGCATGACTATAGGCAAGCCTTACAGCATGGAACCCAGATTGAGAAAATTCTTCAACTCTACCAGATTATTTCCCATTTACTTGAATACTGGAAAATCGTCTAAGACAAAGATTTGAAGGGGAAAAACAAGTAACAGTCAAATGAAAAGAGGCATTCAGAAGAGTGCAGGAGATGAAAACAAACAGATCTGCCAAGGAAAAAAAGACTCCAAAGTTAAGGTCGTTAAAAGGTAATTATTCCAAGTCCTAAGGAATGAAATGATCTTACTCTACACTCAAAATTTAAGTTGTAAAGTATTTTCCAACAAAGATTTGGAACTCCTAAGAGGGGGAAAACAACAGTAGAAAACACAAAGGCAGAGAAACAGCTACAAAAAAATTAACGAAAAATAGCTGTTTAAATCAACAGGTATGCATTTTTTTTTTTAAGTATATATACAAAGTATGATCTTCTGAACAGGTTGCTTTAATTATATGGTAACATTAATCACTCAATTTGTGTATTATTTTACCCCCCTTTACTTCTTCAATACCAAATGCTTGCATTTTTCCACAAGCAGCTAATAACAAGTCCACCAATACAATAGCATAGGAGGTAAAAGGAACAGGGTCATCTGTCCATTTTGCACTCGAACCCACAATATCATTGGCTAGAGACGTATTTTAAACTACTGATGAAACTAGGAGTCTTAAAAGATATACAGATTCCATTTCTTGACATTCTCAAAATTCATAAATTACTAGAGATATTTAAGAATGTGTGAATTTTTATAGGGCTATTTCAACATTAGCAGCAAGCATGGATAAGAAAAAAATTTCTTAGAAACATGACAAAAGAAACCTTTCACAAGACTTTAATTTTGAACAACCCTATTTTTTATAACATACTTATGTAAGACTTTTTAAATTCAATTTTTTAAATCACCTCAATTTTAGAGGAAAATACCGATTTTCCAAAATAAGGTAAAATAACAGACTTTTAAAAGTGATTTAGAAAATTACCATGTGTCAATTTCCAACAACATATGAATTCTGAAATAGTACTTAAAATTTATATTGCCTGAGCTTATAAATCTTTAATAACAGATTGTGGCTGTGACACAAAAATGCAAACTATGTAAAGATGAAGATAAAAGAGGTTTTTTAATTTAGACTCTGATGAAGATGTAAAGGTATCTTTATTTTATATCTAATATCTAAAAAAGATATTTTTTAGCCTCTGATGAATAAAGATGAAGATATAAAAGGCTTTTTTTCTAAAGAAAAAAGACCACCAATTTAAAACAAAGTTCTTAACTGAATATATTAACCTGACCAGTAAAATGTGAAACTACCCACCTAACAAATGAGTAAGCCCACCTAACGTCTGAATTTGAAATTTTCGGCTCCATTGTGTCCCTCTACCAAAGCATCATATGCGCTGCTATCCCAGCAAACAGCTCAGAGTCTGAGTTTATTTTCCAGGTTAAAATGGAAACAGCTCACACTGATGAGCATTCGCTTTAAGAATAACCAGATTTAACTGTTATAAGAAATCATGGAAAAAAACGTCTGATCCACTTTTGTGAGTCACAGAACCCCTTGAGAATCTGATGAAAGCTATATACTATACCCCAAAATAGCCAAATACTCACAAAAAAATTTACATGGAATTTTGGGGGGCAAGGGTGCGATAGAGAGGTTAGGGCCGGTGGGGGGAAGGCGGTGAAGGCTTTGTGAAGAAACCGTTCATGAACAAGAGTGTTCGGGGACCTGGACAATGAAAGGAGCCTGGGCAAGCACTGTACTTTTACACAGCTGTGGGCAGCACTGTACAGTAAGATGCACATAGCTTCCCCTTTACTTGATCAAGTCTCATCCGAGAGAGACTCGAGACCCTGTCTTCACTTTAAGAGCTCTTTATCGAGAATCTGGGTGGGAAAGGGAAGAATGGGTTGTCAAAGGGTTTGAAATTTTCTGCAGTATTAAGCTGGCGCTTAATAAGAAGAAGTAATAATAAAGAAAAATCTAACAACAACAACAAAAAAGCTACCATATATCATAGATCCCTGAATCCTCAGGTTAAAAAGACCTGGCGAGGGGCACCTGGGTGGCTCAGTTGGTTAAGTGACTGCCTTGGGCTCAGGTCATGATCCTGGAGTCCCAGGATCAAATCCCACATCAGGCTCCTTCCTCAGGGGGGACACGTTGTATGTGGGGGGGTGCAGGGATGAACAGGATGTTAGAGATTCTGCAATGCCTGGGCAGTCACATACAAGTAAGTATCATGCCCTCATCCTATGGAATTTTCAAATAACCCCTCCCAGGAATTCATACTAATGAAAATCTTTCCAGAAATATATCTATTGTGTGAAAAAGGAAAAATGTGTTTTCTTTCCTCCAAAACTTGAAAAGGTTAAGTTTACCATCACAGAAAATTACTGTACAAACAGCAATGCCGCTCATGCTACTTGAATCACAACACACTTGTATCAGCATTTGTGACACACACAATTCTACCCATATGCATAAACTTTCTTATTTTGCTCTTATTAAGTCAAAATGTTAAAGAAAACCAGTCAGCCCTATTCAGATAACTGTTGTGTTCTACTAAATCCAAACTTACTTGTTATTAGGAAGGTTACAAGTATCTGGCTACTTCATTCCCTCTTGTTGTAGTGATGCCCAAATATTTACACTGAAATGCTTATGTCATAAATTTTCTTTTTATTTCTCCTTTACGTTATAATTAAGACATTATATTAAAATTTTAAAACCGTATGCTGGCAGGCAATATTATACATGAACTTTATTTTGACATGATAAAGTGGGCATTAAAGAATATAAAATAAAATGGGGATCCTGTCCAATAGGGTTAAAAACCACTGCATTGTATCAGTAATCTCCTGCTTGACTAAATGAAAACTTATCCTTTGCAAAGCTCTGGTTGTTAAACCATTAAGAAAAACAAGTAACTGATTACCATACAGTACAGGGATTAACTTTGCAGGGAAAGAGAGAGTAACTGGGAGGGTACAAGGAAGATTTTTAAAGATTTTATTTATTTGTCAGAGAGAGAGAGAGCGCGCGCACAAATAGGCAGAGCGGCAGAGAGAGATGGAGAAGCAGGTTCCCTGCTGAGCACGGAGTCCAATGTGGGACTCAACCCCAGGACCCTGGGATCATGACCCGAGCCAAAGGCAGCGGCTTAACCAACTGAGACACCCAGGCGCCTCTAAGGAAGATTTTTAAAATGATTAGCGAAGCTCTAGTTCTTGTCCCAGGCAGTGATTACATGGATATTTAACATTTTGGTAATTCTATAAACCGTACATATTTTTCATTTATGCAAAACAATAATTTTTTAGAAAAGCTGATTCTTGATGTATCCTTTAAAAAAAAAACCTGAAAAAAAGTGAGAAGCAGTTTTGATGAGAAAGTGAACATCTGAAGCAATTTATATAAAAAACAAGTACTTTTTGAGGACATCTAAACCTTAATCCCTCTAAGTGGAGGAAAATCCTGCCAGTTGTCTAACGCAAATGCTTAATTTAACATTTAGAAACAATCACTGAAATAGTCCATTTTAAGATTACCTAATAGTATACTAGTCACCAGTTACCATTTCATACATACTTCCTAGGTTAGAGATGAAATCTGTTTGTATATAAAAGTATTCCACATAAGAAAATTCCACATGATACTTTGTACTCATCAACAAAAAAAAACTATAATCAAAATAATCCTACCTTTTATAATTACATGGGTTGTTTCCTCCTTTAGCCTCACTTTTAAGCAGCCATAACATTTCCTGTCACTAAGTATTGTGTCCTAATTCCAACACAACTGTTATTGCCAGTAAGCCAAAATCCCTATGCCCTGCCCCAAATTCTAAAAATCCGAAATCTAACAGATACAAATATGGTCTCTGTGTAAAAAAAAAAAAAAAAAAAATCTGGACATAAATTTTAAAAAGCTGAGAACTAAAATTTCAGAAATGTAGTAAAAGTTTAGGACAGTTACCTAGAAGGATGTGCCAGGTGG